GTGGTTGGAACCTACCAGCTGCTCCAAGGGAGAAAGATGTGGCAGTCTGCTTCCGTAAAGATTTATAGCCTTGGAAATCCCACGGGGCAGTTCTCCTCTGCCCTATAGGGTTCCTATGGCTCAGAATTGACTCGATGGCAGTGGGTTTGGTTTTTTTGGGTATAATATACATTATATATTATAATATAGTGGGGTGCCTAACTAGATATTAAACTAGAGTTTTTTCCACTTCGTATGTGAGCCATGTTGCCAGCTATGTATAGTATACTCCAAAACAGAAAACCCCTTTGAAGGCAGTAAGCGTAATGGGTAATTGCATAGGCTCTGGGCTAGAATACCTGGGCTCCACCTATTAGTGGACCTGTAGGTGGACCCTGGGGACGTTACTTAAAGTCTCCTCGGCTCTGTGTCTTCATGCATAAAATAGACATAATAAAAATCCTTCCTTACAGGGTTGTTGAAAGGATAAAACAAGATGGAATATTTTAGTAATGTAAAGTGCTTAAAACAGTTCCTGGCACACAATATTTATTCAGTAAAGAAAGTTAAAAAAAAAAAAAAAGTAAAGAAAGAAACAAATCACTTAGGGTAGCCCTCCTTAGAAGGGTGGATGCAAGATGAGCAGTATCAATCTTCTCGGGGAAAGAATTTAGTAAGATGTTTGTGTTCTGCGAGTTTAACAAAGGAGTGATCGCATCCCAGTACAGTGGTCAGAATGAGGCAGGGTGGAATGAGGGGTGGTTCTTGATCCATGAGAAAGGAGAACCTGGAAGCAGTCCTATCTGGGTGCTCTTGGAGCCAGCTTGTACCTTGGGATGGGCTGACGACATGAATGTAAGCTCAGATAGCTACAACCTCAGAGCACAAGAGTGAGGCCTCTCTGCCACCTGAGCCTGGTGTCACCTTGGGTGGACAAGCATCCGCAGGACAAGACTTCAACAATGCCATCACGAGGCAGAGAAAAGCAAGAGCAACTGTGGATTGACCAGATTCTCATTTCCTTTATGCTTGGCATCAAAGGAACTTTTGAAACTGAATGAACCTCTGGAGTTCTTGGATAATTCAAGAGGATGAAGCCTCAAGAAAGAGCTACTGGTTCTCCTAATAATAAGGCAGGTGAGCGCTCAAGTGATTAATTGGAAAAATTAAAAATGTTATACCAGTACTAGTATGTCAGAGTAGAACTGTGCTCCACAGGGTTTTCAGTGACTGATTTTTTGCAAGTAGATCGCCAGGCCTTTCTTCCGAGGTGCCTCTGGGTGGATTCAAACCTCCAGTCTTTCAGTGAGCAGCTGAGAGCGTTAACCATTTGCACCACCCAGGGATTCCCCAAAAAAAGATGTTATAACCGTATTTGAACTCTAAGTTTTTCATGCTGAGTTGCTCAATTGCTTTCATCATTATTTTGAAAGCTAGTGGGAGCGACTCCGCCCTCTCAAAACCAAAAGTACTTGGCAGAAAAGTACTCACCCAAGTATCCTTCTTTTGCTTCCTGTGTCAGTGGCTCATTCCCAACAAATGTGTCATCCTGCAGGTCTGCCTTCAGGTCTAGAAAGCCCCCAGCCCAGTCCTTGGCTCCAACTGACCCCACGACTACATGGTCCTGCCCAGAGAAGGTGAGCAGGGGTCAGCCATCCTTCTGGAGTGGGCTGCATGCCCACAACACACTCCTCAGCTGCTGCCCCCCGGCCCGCTGCTTCCGTTCCACCACTCACCCCGCTGAGGTCAGCACTGATCCCGCTGGAGGACAGCTCCATGTTGAAGGACGTCAGGTTCTGTTTGCTTGTGCCTGAGGACAAGTAGAGGAGAACAGGGCCGAGACCCAAGGGGCAGTAAAAATAGTGATACTCGTGAAGGGACCAGAAAGAAGGATAGCACTTCCTTTTGGGCCAGAGGAAAGAGCATGAGCTTTAGAGTTGAACAGACCTGGGCAGTGACTTAACCCTCAGTCAACTTTCTCATGTAAAACTCCATGAGTCCCTGAACCACCTCAGCGTGTCTAAAATGCAGCTCTGGATTTCTGCTCCTACTAAGGCTTCCCCACTTCAGAGAATGGCACCATCACCCACCTAGCAAATCAGGCTAAAAACCAAGGGATCAGCCTTGCTTCTTCCTTTTATCTCTATTCTGTCTCTAACCTATTACCAAATCCTGCTGCTTCTACCTCCAGAATATATCCGTCCCCTTCTCTGAATAATGCGTACTGGCACCACACTGGTCCAAGGCATCCTCATCTCTTGCTTAACTAATGCGATAGCTCACTAATTTGGTCTCTGATTCCGTTCTTCTCCTTTCCATGGTTTTCTCCACAGAGCAAGCAAGAGTAACCTTTTTCAAAAATGTGTATCAGATAACCTTTCTCCCTTTCTTAAAAACTTCATTACTAGACAGCCCCATAAAACAAAATGAACTAATGGGGCACAACATCCCAGGGACAAAGACTAGAAGGCAAGAGCAGACAGGAGAGCTGGTAATAGGGAACCCAAGGTCGAGAAGGGAGAGTGTTGACATGTCGTGGGGTTGTTAACCAATGTCATAAAACAGTATGTGTACTGTTTACTGAGAAACTATTTGTTCTGTAAACCTTCATCTAAAGTACAATAAAAAAAATTTAAAAAAAAAACTTCATTACTTCCTGCTGCTCTTTGGACTTAAATCTAAACTTCTTATGAGGGCCTGGAAATCTCCCACCTTCTCTCCCGCCTTCTCTCTCCCTTAGTTACTACACTGACCTTTTTAATTCTGTCAACATGCCCAGCCCTTTCCCACCTCCTAGACTTTGAACTTGCACTTCTCTCTGTCCTTTGCCCGTATTGTTCACATGGCTATTTGTTTCTCATCTTTCATGTCTCAGCTCAAAAGTCACCTCAGAGAGATCTTCTTTGAAAAGCCTATCTGAAGTGGTCTCTCCCGGTTAAATCTATCTTATTACATTATTCATTTTCTTTATAGGACGCGTCACAATCTTTAATTATCATGTTTGTTTACTTGTTTACCAGCTTTCTCTATCTAACTTGAACATGAGCGCTACTTTGGCAAAATCCCCATGAGTCTTAGTCACAGTGCCTGATACACGGTTGTTGCAAGCATGAATTAATAAAACGAAAATACCACCAGACTTACAAGGATGCTGAGAAGATTGAGTTAAGTAATATAAAGTACCTGTTACATGTAGGAGCCCTGGTGGTGCAGTGGTTAAGAGACTGGCTGCTAACCAAAAGGCCAGTAGTTCAAATCTACCAGCTACTCCTTGGAAACCCTGTGGGGTAGCTCTATTCTGTCCTATACGGTCAGTATGAGTTGAAATCAACTCGATGGCAATGAGTTTTTTTTGGTTATATGTAATCTTCCAAGAAATTTAGCAATTAATTATGATGACTTGCTCATTCGTTGAATAAATATCTAGAGTAACCAAATATTTGGTGCCAGCAATACAATGGTGAAAAAGTACACACGATCCTTGCCATGACAGTCCTCATAATTTAGTGTGGGAGACAGATATTGAGTAGATAACACAGCACGGTATAACAGGGCTCTGATAGAGAACATATGGTGGGTTCAGCAACACCCATGGGAAGAAGCATCTAACCCAAACTCGGGAGATCAGCAAGAACTTATTAAAGGAAAGGACATCTAAACTAAGATCTGGAGGATGAGTAAGAGCTGGCCAGGTCAGGGTAAGGGATAAGGGCTAGAGATAAGAGCTACCATTTATAGAGAGCCTACAATACACCAAACATTTTGCTCAGTAATTAAACCCTAATCAACTCTGTGAGATTGGTAGTATTGTCCTCATTTAACAGAGACATACAGTGAGGCTCCGAGAGGGAAAGTGACCTAGTTAAGGTCACTCAGCAAGTCAGAAGCGGAGTGGATTCTTGAGCATGTCTGCCTGTTTCAATTATATGTACCACATTTATTCTTCAACTAAACTGAACATTAAAGCTGTGTCCTATCAAAGGAGACTTGCCCGTGGGAATCACGTCTCTTTTAGCAGACTAGGCTTCCTGGGGAAATCCCCCCCGCCCCCATAGCCAGCTCTCCACCTGGTGACTACAATAACCAAATCAAACCAAACCCATTGCTGTAGAGTCAATTTTGACTCATAGCAACCCAGCAGGACAGAGTAGAACTGCCCCACAGGGTTTCCAACGAGCGGCTGGTAGACTCAAACTGCCAAACTTTTGGTTAGCAGCCAAGCTCTGAACCATTATGCCACCAGGGCTCCAACTACCTTCCCTTATTCTGGGCCAAGGAAGAGAGCCTGTGGGCTCCTCACGCTGGGCCCCTGTTTGCTTGCCAACATCTTAAGTAATTTGGAGCTAGGATGAGTGAAATGAGAGAGTTGAGTGAGGGTAGGAAGGAATTATAGTCATTCTGCAGGGCTCAGGTGACACCAGCAAGATAAAGGTCAGTCCTGGGCCCTACCCTGGATCAAACTAGGCTCCAAAATGAAGACGGAATTTTGGAGGGAAAGATCAGAGGCCACTTTTAGCACCCTTGCCTAAATTCCTTCTAGAGGCTTTTCTCAGAAGAACTCTGATACTCAGATACACACTGTCAGATACTCAGTAAGTGCTCGTTATTATTCACTGTGTCTCCAGTACGATGACCCAGGGAAGTCTCTGTACACAATCTCCCAAACATTCCCTCCCAGTGTCTGTCACTCACCCTCAATGTCGTAGATCTTCTTTTGCAGCTCAGTGAATAGATCTTTAAGCTTCTCAAATGTGTCCAGAATCTTTACGAACTCGTTGATGGGTTTTGAGGCAAATTTGTGGAGTGCCTCCTGACTTCCTTTTGTCTGAAAATGCTTCCCAATCTGTGAGGGAGTGAAGAGCTGGCATCCCCAGAATCCCAGACCAGTTTTCTATTATTTTCACAACTCCCGGCTTCCCAGCAGAAAGGGGAATGGGATTCAGGAAGAGGAGAGGGAGAAATGAGACTTAAGAAGAAGCCAGGAGCCTAGGGGTCCATACCCCAATGATGTAGCGGATGATGTCTTTGGCCACGTCAATGCTGCCAGTGTCAGAGGCTTCCCCGTCTGTGATGATGATGAGCACTTTTGTGGCATCTGGCCTGGCCCCCATATCCTGTCGGAACACCTCTGTTCTGTGTTCAAGAAGGAGGGAAGTGAGAGACTCCTCCCATACCTGGGCCTTCCCCCTCCCACCTCATCCCCCCTCCTACCAGTGCTCTTAATCAGGTCATTGCCCCCTCATTATGCAAAAGCCCTTCTCATATTTCCCAGCTAGATATTCCAAACCTTCAATGTTCTCCTTGGAACCTTCCACCTCATCTTTGCTGCCACACCTCTCCTTCTAGACCAGTGGTCTTCAAACTGTATTCTAGTTAGTTCAAAAGTTATCTCAGGGGTCCATGAGCAGTAAGATGAGGCTTTGTGAGGGGTGACGCCAGGCTCTCTCCACTTCAATCACATAGTGACTATTCTTTAATCAGTGTTAATCCGTTAGATATGTTGTTGAGGTTTCAATGAAAAAAAAAAAAAAAACAGAGTTCCCGGCCAAAAAACACTGAAAAGCCACTCTTCCAGAGCAAGCTCATACAGTGTCTCCTTTGCCTCCTCTGCCTTCCCTACCATCCCCAGGCTGCCCAAAGATCACAGCTACAGTACTTACCCTGGGAACTATAATGGCTTGTTTCTGTCTCAGTTTTCCCCCTAAACCCTGAGTTCCTCAAGGAAAGGACCATGTTTGATTTGCTGACTCCTGGCAGAGTAGGTGCTCATGCATGTGAAATAAAGGGAAGGGAGGACTGAACACTGGACAGGCTAAGGCTCAAAAATCCTACCCTGCCACAGCCTCCTTCTGAAGTCAGTTGGGTGAACATGTGACCCTTCCCTCTCCACCGCCATAGATAACCAGAGATGGACAATTAATCAAAGAGCAGCCAATCCACATCCCATGCCTTATAATATGGCCTGACTTGGTAGCAGAAGCTGAAAAAGCACACGATGAGGCTGGAGATGCCACTGTGGGAGGTGGATGAGATACAGAAAGGAAGGCGGGAAAGCTACTTAGAAGCTGCCAAAGACAGAGGATCAGGCCTCACTCACAGAACAGCACCGATGGGCAAGGCCCCAAATGTCTGCTGTTAAGACCTCTAGTTCTGTCTTGGATCCAAAATGTTTCTCCAACTTCCATCCAAATGAATGTGCCCCTACCATGGCTCCAGTTCGTGGATTCCCACCCTGGTTTAAACTACCATCATCTCTCATCTGGATTTTTCAATAGCCTCCTAATTGGCCTCTCTGCTTCCACCCTTGCCTCACTACAGTCTAATATCAATATCGCAGCCAGAGGGATCCTTTTAAAAACCTAAATAAGATCAGGTCACTCCTCTGCTCAAAACCTCCAATGACTTCTCATCGTATTCAGAGGAAAAGCCAAAACCCTCACTACAGCCTCCAAGTCCCTACTGATCCGAATTCCCATGATCTCTCTTACCTCATCTCCTACTACTTTCCCCTCTCCATTATTTCTTTCTAGCCACACTGGCATTCTGGCTCTTCTTTGAACATCCTAAGCATGTTCTCACCTCAGGGCCTTTGCAAGTCTCTTTGCCTGGAATGGCCTTCCCCTAGGTATCCACACAGCTCGCTTCCTCAGCTCCAACAAGTCTTTGCTTAAACACAACCTTCCCTGTTCTTCTTATTGAATATTGCTTTACTTTTCTTTATAATATGTACACCTTCTAGTATATTAACCTAATTTACTTATTTATCCTGTTTATCATATTTCTCTCCACTACTAGAATGTCAAGCTCCAAGAGGGCAGAGATTTTTGTCTGTTTTGCTTACTGCCATATTCCTAGTAGAGCCCCTGGGTGGTGCAAATGGTTAATGTGCTCAGCTGCTAACCGAGGTTCAAGTCCACCTAGAGGGGCCTTGGAAGAAAGGTCTGGAAGTCAACTTTCAAAAAATGGGTCACTGAAAACCCTATGGAGCACAGTTCTACTCTGACACACATGGGGTCACCATGAGTCGGAATCGATTCGATGGAAACTGGTTTTTTATATTCCCAGTACCTAGACTGTGGATCGGCAAACAACAGCCCACAAGCCAAATCGAGCCTGTGGCTTGTTTTTATATAATCCATGAACTAAGAATGCTTTCCATATTTTTAAAGGGTTTGTGAGACAAAGAACTAGATCGACCTTTTGTCTCTCGTTTCTGAAATCAGCCCTTGGAATTCCCTAACAATCCAAGGTGTTCTTTGTTCCATAAAACAGCCAGGCAATACTTCCACCCACTGCCATCAAGTAGATTCTGACTCATAGCAACCCTGTAGGACAGAGTAGAACTGCCCTATAGGGTTTCCAAGGCTGTAAATCTTTACGGAAGCATACTGTCACATCTTTCTCTTGCATGTTGGCTGGTAGGTTCAAACCTTATGGTTGGCAGCTGAGTGCTTTAACCACTGTGCCACCGGGGCTCCCTAGGCAACACTTAAATGAGTATAAATGAGATGGGGGCCCAAGGCACCACATCTGGAGAACTAACTTCAGGAAAAAGGAGGGGGGCATAATGGAATCAGTCATGGATATTCAGTGATTCAATCAATCGTTGGCTATGCATTAAGGTTCCAGTCATGCATATACACTGAGCCCCAATAACTATTATAAAGGATTCTAGGCCTTGGAGCTCCCTTTTGAGCTTCCGGACTGATGATGCACGTGGGTGGACTGGCATGTCTCTGGGGACATGAAGCTCTGTGCCGAAAACTCCTCCCAGACCTCATCTGTGCGTCTCTTCGTGTATGTCCTTTTGTGGTTATATTAAAAAAGGTTACAGTGAGTGTGCCTCTTTCTGTGAGTTCTGTGAGTCATTCCAGTGAATTATGGAACCCACTGCGGGTAGTGGAAGCCAGCAGTGCCTGACATTTGCCTATTTGGTAGCTGATTAGGAGGACAGAATCCTAATTTGTGAGGAACCAGCTTTGGGTGGCTGGTGGACAAGAGAACTGTGCAGGCAGTCGTTTTGTAAAGCTCTAACTCTGAGTAGTTAGAGATTGAGGGAGACAGAAACGTTATGTGGGTGGCTGGTGTCAGAGGTGGAGAAGAGAAAAGCCGGGATATGAATTATCTTCACATTTTGGGGATAAGCCTTGCGCTGATTATTATTTAAGCAGAGTTATAAACACAAAGATGAATATGCAACAGAGACCATAGCTGGCCAGCACAGCCTAAAATAGTTACTATCTGACTCTTCACAGAAAACGTTTGCCAACCTCTGATCTATCACACAGTGGATGGTCAAGAAATATTTGTTAAATAAATTCCCATTGACTGCCTCTTTTTGCTTCCACAATTGACACCTTTTAGTGTGTCTTCTCCTGCTATAGTGTCCCCTTTCTCCAAGAACAACCCCCTGCCCACAGAAGTAGGACCTTAGAATCCATGTTTGTGCTGGGTGACCCTATGCCATAGTGTAGACCAGGCCATAGCTGAGTGGATCCATGGACACCTGACTCAGGATTAGCCAATCAGATTTTCTGTCTTGGAAGCTGGAATTCAGGTTGTTCATCTGAACTGAGGCTGCCATTTTTTGAGTAGATGTATGTTTGACATATCTCTACAGAGAGAGAAGAATAAAGTAGACATGGCAGACCAAGTGAGCCCCAAAAGGAAAGAGCTGGAAACACACATGGAAAGTCTTAAGGAAGTATATCACATGTATGTTTAACTCATGCAAATTTAACTATACTTGCTTGGCAAAGAAATGAAAATGAGAAAAATCAGTGTAATAGTGCACAAGATCCTTCCTGTACTCTACTCAATTGGAGTGTCTGCCCAGGGTGAGTGCGAGACAGGAGATACCATTCTCCCCTTCCCCAAATCAGTTCTGTGTTCTCATGGCCGCCCCAATGTTTAAAGATAGGTTTGCTTTTATGTTTTAGTTTTAATACAGTATGGCCCTTGACATAATCTAACTATTTTAATCCAGGCTTCAATTTAAACACAGCAATCTGATCCAACTTTGAGGGAAAAAATTTTCTGCGTTGTATTCAGGATATCAGGGTATGCCAGTTTCAAACATCGGACTTGAGTATACTGAATTTTATAAACAATTCCAGGAATTCTTCAAGTATAATTTTAACTATTTGAGATTTTTCTCCACATACTGACTTCAAAAGTTGACCCCCCACTGCAGCTGCCTAGGTTCATGATCACTTTCCAGATCCTCGTGAGGCCTGACAACACTTCCTGTTCCAGAAGTTCATGAGCTATCACTGTATCCTCCCAAGAATTTCCCTTTTGTATTTAGTCAGTATAAAGTGGGTTTCTGTTACTTACAATCAAAAGCAACTTGACTAACATTGCTTCACTTGAATTCTCACAACAAACCGCCCCTCGCTGAGTCAACCCAGCTGAGTTTCTGCACCTTGCAACCGGAAGAGGCTAAAATGCATAGGCTCTCTCCTGCAGAAAGGAACTCACGCGACATAGTTGATAGCACCAATGGTGTTGGTCAGCAGGGCCATGTGTTCTACTTTGGCTAGCAGGACATCAGGGTCCTTCTGTCGAACATAATCCAAGAAACTAAATTCCGTTTTGTATGTTGTGGAAAACTGAACAGCAGCAAACTAGAACAGGAAGGAAGAAATGACGTGTAGTTACATATCTCTTTCCACTTATCCGCTCCAATCTCTACTTCTTGTCTAGGATCTGGGCAACTCAACTCTATATTCCTGCCTCAAATCATTCTTTTGAAAATGAGGCAATAGATAAACAAACGTAGAAATGAAATTAAATAAACCTCTGCTTCCTTATGTAGTGCTGTTCGCTGAACTCCTGTTCTCTGGGTCTGCCTGTCTCCTCAGTAGGGATGGTTCCCAGTAGCCATATTCCTGCTGAGTAACCCTGTTAAACTGGATACAGTTGGCTGAACCAGGGATGGTCACCCAACTGAAGCTAGGTCAGTCAGAATCTCTTCCCCGAAAATTTGAGATTTGCAGAGGAAGGAGTTGGTTGAGAAGGAGGCAAAAAACTGTCTTGGAACTTTAACGTGTGAACATGGGAGCTTTTATAAACTCATGTGACCCAAAGAAGCTGAAGGAGCGAGTCTACAAAGAAGAGGGAAGCAAAAACACAGAAAGAAACAGAAATGAGAACTAGAAAGTCCTAGCAGCTTTCTACTCCTTGATTCTTGTCCCTTCCTGAGGTCCAGTTATAGTCACACGCTTAGGTTCTAGAGACACTGCATATTAAATTTTCTATAAAGGCTTAAGCTAGTTCAGACAAGCAACTGTTGCTTGCAACCAAGAATTCTAATACATGTACCTGGTAGGAAGTGTTGCTGAGTTTCTTCATCACATCCTTCATGAAGTCTACAATTTTCTGAAATTCATCTCGCTGCATGCTCCTTGAGCCATCAAACAGAAATACCAGGTCTACATTGCCCTTTATACATTCTGCAGAGACCAGACATAAAGGGACCTGGTGAAGTGTCTCCAGTGTTTGGACTGCCAGTGCTGGTTCCCACATAGGACAGCCACTTGGAGACATTTTAACCCACTGGATGCCCACCTCTGGGGTCTTTTTCATCCATGGATTGGGGTGGCTTACCCTGATAACCAGGGCGTCCTTGGTGCACAGGGCTCTGCAGATTCTGACGGAAGAGGTAACACTGGCCACTTAGATGAATATTCTGGTCACATACCCGAGACAGCCCAGGGTCACAGGCCTGAAGGAAGCAAAGGTAAAAGGGTTGGGGCTTCCTCCTGCTGTACGTCTTTTGGACGTCATTAGCCAACAACAAAAACCTTCAGCGTCATGGTCCTTCTCCCTCACTCCTTACAGCTAACTGGTTACCAAGGCAACCGGTTAATTTTGCCTCCACAATGTCTTATATCTGCCTCTCCATTACTACTACCAGTGCTGGGGGTCATTGGACACTCACCGTCTATAGAATAAAGCCTAAACTCCTTAACGTGGCATTCAAAATTGCTTACACTTGGGCACTGTCCTACCTTTATAGACCCACCCTCACCCATTCCCAATCACACACTCTGTATTTACGCCAAATCACTCAACAGTCCCAGAATATACATGCTGTTTCTTTCACTTATGACTATCTTTCCTGCCAGACCATAATTTCTTGAAAGCCAGGGCTCATATCATGGTCATCTTTGTAACTCACTCCCCTTACCCCACCAGAACCTAGCGCAATGCCTGGCATATAACTCCAGTTAAATACTGGAGCTCACTCAGTCTTTCTGTCTCTCAATATTTCACTCAGTCTTTTATCTCTCACATAGCTGTGTCAGAAGGATGCTACTGGGATGAATTGGAAAGAGCAATGGACTTGGAATCATATGAGAATTTGACTCAAATCCTGGCTCTACCACTCTGCAATCATGTGATCTTGGCCAAGTCTCTTAACCTCTTTGGTCCTGACTCCTCATGTGTAACATGTGTATACTGATTCCTATTTCACCCGACTGTCTTGAGGGTTATAAGAGGTAAGGCAGTGTTTTCTAAACTTTAAGCATTTGTGTACCACGTGACAACTTCTGCCATATGGGCCTATCATCCGTACTATTATTTATTTAATATTTTCCTTTCAATCTACTTTTTTTTTTTTAACTTTAGTCTCATCCTAAGCAATACAATTCAAGAAATCACAAGTTTTATGTGCTTGTTGTATTTTCTTTTTCCAATAAGCCATTAAATAAATATATAACTATTAAAACAGTAAAAGTTTGTGTACCACCAAAAATCATCTTGTAAAGCAATGGTCATAGATATCTCATATTTGGGAAAAGAAACTGAGGTGAGTAAGGTCTTGAGAATAGCTGGCTTACAGTTGGTTCTCAATGAACACTGATGAAATCTGAATCTCTTTGATGCCTTTAACCTTCTGTGGGATCTTTTCTCCATTTCCTTTTTTCAGTCTCTCTTTCCTAGCATCAAGCTTCACAGGCTCTGATATTACCCTACACAAAATCTTACCAAAAGTCTTCCATTTGTGGGGTCCGTCGCCAAGGTCATTCCCAAATACGTGGAAGTATAGTTGGAACCTGTAGGCATCAGAAGGTTGGTCTGAAAGAACTTAGGCAAATCCAGGTGTGTTGGGGCCAGCCTTGATTTCCCTGAGACTCCACTCCTCCCAACTCCCTCCCCAGTTACTCACCACTCAGTCTGACTGGTAGGCAACGTCCAGTGGCTGGCTGGCACTGATAGAGATTTCCCGTGTTGTTCCCCTCACCTGGAGCTCCTATGACAACCCTGGTGAGAAATCTCACCTGTGAGATGGAATGCCCAGATCTTTACCCACCCACACCTGCCTATTAATGGGGTTCAGATCCCTCACCAGGTATCTCAAAGCAAAACAGTCACTCCCTTAAAGGGGAGCTCCTCAGCCTCCTACCTCATCTCTATTTAATCTGAGATAATAATCCCATAAACCAAAACTTTAGAAAATTAAAAACTCTTTCAATTTATGGACTAGAAAAACTGAGGCTCAGAGAATAGTCTGCCAGAAAGTCACATTATGAGTTCATTAAATCAGTCATCAATTCAAAATCCATTTATGACACAACTGCTACTTGGGTCTAAAATCAACATCCATGGAAGCAGCAGTCAAGAAATAAAACAATGTAGTGCATTGGGTAAATCTGCTGCAAAAGACCTCTTTAAAATGTTAAAAAGCAAAAATGTCACTTTGAGGACTAAGGTGCGCCTGACCCAAGCCATGGCATTTTCAGTCGCCTCGTATGCATGCGTAAGCTGGACAATGAATAAGAAAGACCGAAGAACTGATGCCTTTGCATTATAGTGCTGGCAAAAAATATTGAATATACTATGGACTGCCAGAAGAATGAACAAATCTGTCTTGGAAGAAGTACAGCCAGAATGCTCCTAGAAGTGGGGATGGTGAGACTTCATCTCACATACTTTGGGCATGTTATCAGGAGGGACCAGTCCCTGTAGAAGGATAACATGCTTGGTAAAGCAGAAGGTCAGCAAAAAAGAAGAAGATCTTCAATGAGATGGATTGACACAGTGGCTTCAACGATGGGCTCAAGCATAACAACGATTGTGAGGATGGCGCAGTGTTTCGTTCTGTTGTACATAGTGTCGCTATGAGTCGGAACTGACTCGACGGCACCTGACAACAACATCAACAACTATGTGGTAGGCTGAGGGATGTAGTAGAGATAGAGGGAAAAAACAGAAACAAAAATCCTGCTTCAGATTGCTCACTGTCTAGTCAGGGAGAGAGTCAGAACCTCAGAAAGTGCTACAAAGTATTTTAGGTGCCCTGACATGTTACTCCTATTAGGCACTTGTGTGACACTTTAATGGTGTGGCTATCACCCTCAACCTATTTGATAGCCTTGCTTGTTCCTGTGTTTCCAGAGAAATCCCACTGGCACACTCAAGACAGGAAAGTCCTCTCGACCTGCCCCAATTCACCAACTGGCCAGTCCTAGGGGATGGTGACGCTGTCATGGTTGCCCACCGCGAAAGAACCAGGACTGACATCAGGGTCTCCTCACCTGTGTGGGGCCGAGAAGACTGGTGGGGTGGGGGGCAGCTCACCTGTTTCCAAACTGCAGGACACGATACCCAAAATGCCTCCCGGAGTCTTGGAAGGAGAAGCTTTGTGCGTGCAGCACGTCCAGGTTGTAGCTTGAGGCCGGGGCTAAGAGAGACGACGGGGCATAAGCCACTTCAGCCAGGAACCCCGGTGCGTTCCCTGAGAGCTATGGGTGCTGAACTTCAGGCCTACCAGAACAGGACTCCCAAAGACTCACACAACGGCGTAAAACAAGGCTGCCTCCTCTGCAGGCCAGCCACACCTGAGTGAAGCAGAGCTAGAACCTGCCTTCCTGGACTTTCCCTTGATGGCCTTGACTCTGGGAAACATGGAAGCAGCGACTCCCTCCTACCTAGAGTTCTGGCAGTTCCCGGGCCTGGGAAGGACACAGCAACTTCCTGCTTGTCCTCTCTTCAAAGAAAGAAGGATGAGAAGGACCATGAGAGAGGAACAGGCCGAAAGGCACCCCTCCTCCCTGAGGCATAGAGTGATCAGGTTCCCCGGAGGGGACCAAGATGGGGATGCTCCAAGGCAGTATGTTCCTCTCACATACCCACTTCTCCCTTGGTCACAGGGCCCATGCACCCTGAGAACTCAGATAATCAGCCTCAGACTTTCTCCAGCATACTTGGGGATTAAGGATCCCGTGATCCCTGTGAGGCTGCCTCCTCACTCATCTGATGCTTCCACACTTCCCACCCTCACCACGGACCAGTCTTGCCTTTAACCATTAGATCTCAGATTCCCCCATCCCACCCCCCACCTCAGACAGCCTAGGCATCATCTGCAAACCCCAAACTGTCCTTTCTGGTCCTGCCTTCCTTCCAGGCATAAGGCTTATTTCATAGCATCCTAGGATGTCAGAGATGCTGCCCCTTTCTTTGTTCAGATGAAGAGGCTCAGAAAGGGGAAAAGTCTCACCTAAGATCAAACAGAGAGGCAGTACCCAGGGGAGGACCAGAACCCAGCACCCTCCTCCAAACTGTACATATCCATTAACCATCTGCCTTTTAAAGGGACCCACCCCACCCTTCTCTCTAACCATCACCGGCTTTGTCTCCCTTCTCTGTGTTTCTCCCACATCTTGCCTCTGGTTTTCTTTCTCTTTCTGTTTCCCCGTCTCCCTCCAGGATTTCTGGACCCAGCATTACTTATGGCCAGTCCCACCCTTAGAACAGCTCCTCATTTATCGAGTTCCACAAAGCCCTGTAGTTCGTCTGGTGACAGAAACTCGTCCCTTCCCCGCCTTTGTTCTCCCCTCCCTTCCTCCTTTGCCTACCGAAGAGAAAGGGCCCAAACAGCAGCAGCCTCATTAGGATGATGCAGGAATTCTTCATCTCTCAAGCTGCCGGAGGGACCTGTGGACCCGGGCTCCAGTCCCAGAGGGCCCTTGGGATTTGCCGGCAACCTAGACAGGGTGGAAGAGGGAAATGATAATGCCCTGGGGCCTCTTGCAGTAAGACTTTCTCACAGAGGCGAGAGGCTGGTTACACTGGGGGTGTGCGCTGGAGGGGTTGTGAAACCACAGTTAAAAAGGAAGTGTTAGCAGGTTAGAGATGTTTCCTGTGCCTACTTGCAGGTTCACATCATCCAAGAGTGGGTAGCTCAGTAATCAGAAGACCGCCTCTCCTTCCTGCCCCAGAGATGCTGTATCACAGTCTCTCACCAACACACCAACTTAAGACTTTTTTAAAGCTCAGTAGAGGATTGGCCAAGTAAATTGCAGTATAATCATAATAGAATGCTATGTAGCTGTAAAAAGAATGAGGAAGGAAAAAAATGCTGTAGGAAAAAAAGAAAAAAAAAATGAGGTAGCTGTCCATTGACATTGAAAGTGTCCATGACATACTGTTTAAAAAAAAAAAAAAAAAGAGAGAACAAGTTACAGAACAGTGTATTTAGTGTATTTTCATTCTAAAAAGCAAAGAATAAAACACACGGATTGAGAGAAAATATTTGCAAATCATATATCTGATAAGGGGACTTGTATCCAGAATATATAAAAAGAACTTTTACAACTCAGCAATAAAAAGATAAATCACTCAATTTAAACAATGGGCCAAGGACCTGAATAGACATTTCACCGAAGAAGATATATGAATGGCCAGTAACTACCTAAAAAAGATGCTGAACATCATTAGTCATCAGAGAAGTTCAAATCAAAACCAAAAGGAAATACCACTCCATACCCACTAAACCCAAAAGCCCATTGCCGTCGAGTTGATTCCAACTCATAACGACCCGGTACGACAGAGTAGAACTGCCCCATAGGGTTTCCAAGGAGCAGCTGGTGGATTTGAACTTCTGACATTTGGCTTAGCAGCCTATTTCTTAACCACTGTGCCACCAGGGCTCCTCATACCCACTAGGATGGCTAAAAAAAGAGAGAGAGGAAGCAAAAGAAAATGCCAAGTGTTGGTGGGGATGTGGAGAAATTGGAACCCTTGTGCATTGCTGGTGGAAGTGAAAATGGGAAACAGGCAGTTTCTCAAAAGATTAAACACAGAGTTACCATATGATCTAGCAATTCCACTCCTAGGTATAGAGCCAAGAGAGTTGAAAACATGTTCATATAAAAATTTACATACCGATGTTCATAGCAGCATTATTTATAATAGCCAAAAAGTAGAAACAACCCGAACGTCCAACAGCTTATGAATGGATTAACAAAATATAGCATATCCACACCATGGAGTATATTATTCAGCCATAAAAAGGAATGAAATACTGATACATGCTACAATGTGGCTAAACCTGGAAAATATTATGCTAAGTGAAAGAAAACAGACGCAAAAGGCCACATATTGTATTTTACTCTTTAAATGGTATGTATGTCCCGAATAGGCAAATCTAGAGACAGAAAGTAGATTAGCAGGCAGGGGGAGTGAACTGCTATTGGATACTGGGTTTCTTTTGGGGGTGATAAAAATGTTCTGGAATTCGATAGGGAAGATGGTCCCACAATCTTGTGAAAAACCACAGAATTGTACACTTTAAGATGGTGAATTTTATAGTATGTGAATTATATCTCAATAAAAAATAATTTAAAACAAAAAATAAAATTATATGTGTGTGTGTGTATGAAAAAAATCTAAAAGGATATACAACCAAACTCTAAACAGTGGTCATCTCTGCATAATGAGGTTTATATAGTTTTGTTTTTTCAGAAGTGTGTTTTTTTTTTTAAATTCTTATAATGAGGATGTTTGAACCGAGTCATTAAGAAACATAAAAATACTTAAAATGCAACAAAATAGAGGAACTGCATTTGTTTATGGGAAAGTGAAATGGACATTCCAATTCTGTCTGTGTTGTTAGGAAATCTTGCACTTCTAATGTCACTGACCTGGGGAAGGCTTTTGCAGCAGACTATCTATAATCAGTGCTGCCAGGTAGCTGCAACAGGATAAGCTGGCTCTTGGGAAGTTAGATGATATCAGATAGTCTTTTTCAAATTCTGTTAGAATCAGGTCATTCAGATGGATGGACTGAATTCTCTGATTCTCTGTAGAATAGCTCCAGTTTAAAAAAACCTGTTGCTGGACTCATGGACCACAACTACCAGGGCCTGCACCAGTCTGAGTCCGGCACAGCTAGATGGTGCCCGGCTACCACCACTGACTGCTCTGACAGGGATCACAACAGAGGGTCTCGGACAGAGCTGGAGAAAAATGTAGAACAAAATTCTAACTCACAAAAAAAGACCAGACTTACTGGCCTGACAGAGACTGGAGAAACCCTGAGAGTATGGCCCCTGGACACCCTTTTAGCTCAGTAATGAAGCCACTCCTGAGGTTCACCCTTCAGCCAAAGATTAGACAGCCCCATAAAACAAAACAAGACAAAAGGGGCACACCGGCCCAGGGGCAAGGACAAGAAGGCAGGAGGGGACAGGAAAGCTGGTAATAGGGAACCCAAGGCAGAGAAGGGAGATACTGACATGTCATGGGGTTGTTAACCAATGTCATAAAACAATATGTGTACTAACTGTTTAATGAGAAGCTAGCTTGTTCTGTAAACCTTCATCTAAAGTACAATAAAAATAAATAAATAATAAAGTATTAAGGAAAAAAAAATACCGCTGCTGTCGAGTCGATTCCAACTCATAGCGACCTTATACATCTAATCAAATACATTTGTTTTGTTCGGAAATTACAGAAAGAATATATATTTTTAAAATTCAAACATAACAGAAGCGTGTCAAGTAAAAGGATAAAACCTCCCTTTTAACATCCCCCCCTCCCCATTTCTAAATCCCAGAAACAATCACTGTTAACAATTTGGAGCCATCTTAGTTACCCTGGGCTGCTGTAACAAACAAAGAAAGCAACCTACAAGTGGATGGCTTTAAAGATCACAAATTTATCTTTCATAGTTCTGGAGGCTAAAAATCCAAATCAGGGTCTCAGCTATGTCGATTCCGTTTGCGGGCCTCTCTGCTAGTTTCCGGTGGCTGCCAGCGGTCTTTGGGATTCCTTTGCTTGTAGGTAGGTCTTCACATGGCTCTTTCCCCCTGTATATGTGTCTCTGTGTCTATTCTGCTCTTTTTATATGATACTACTCAGAAGTGATGACTTAATTAACATAACAAAAGAAAACCTCTATTTCCAAATAGGGTCATATTTACAGGTACAGGGGTTAGGACTCCCACATTTCTGTTTGAGAGCCATAGTGTGATCCACAACACAGCCATACATTCTTCGTACCAAAAAAATCGTTAGTTCTACAAGGTAACCATAGAGGTTTGATTTGTTTGAAAAACTATAATTATCTCACCACAGACCAGCTAACTCATCCTGAAATCAATCCTCTCCAGTGTGAAGATTTTCCTTTAGGCTGACTTCAAAATGTAGATGCTTGAATTAGGGTTTAAGTTTATAGTAGCTGGAAGTGTGCCAATAGTAAGAGAAAGAATACCTGGGGTAAAAGATGTTCAGGAAATGATCTTAAAGTCTCCATTTCTTTTCTTTCTTTCTTTTTTCTCAATTTTATTTTAGATGAGGGTTGACAGAGCAAATTCGTTTCTCATTAAACAGTTAATACACATATTGCTTTGTGACATTGGTTGCCACCCCCACGACATGTCAACATTCTCCCCTTCTCGATCTTGGGTTCCCCATTACCAGCTTTCCTGTCGCCTCCTGCCTTCTTGTCCTGGTGTGTCAATTTAGTCTCATTTTGTTTTATGGGCCTGTCTAATCTTTGGCCGAAGGGTGAGTCTCAGGAGTGACTTCAGGACTGAGTTAAAAGGTGTTCGGGGGCCGTACTCTCAGGGTTTCTTCAGTCTCTGTCAGACCAGGAAGTCTGGTTGTTTTGTTGTTGTTTTTTTTTTTTTGGTGAGTTAGAATTTTGTTCTACAATTTTCTCCGGCTCTGTCCGGGACCCTCTATTGTGATCCCTGTCAGAGCAGTCGGTGGTGGTAGCTGGGCACCATCTTGTTGTGCTGGATTCAGTCTGGTGGAGGCTGTGGGAGTTGTGGTCCATTAGTCCTTTGGACTAATCTTCTCCTTGTGTCTTTGGTTTTCTTCATTCTCTCTTGCTCCAGACAGAGTGAGACCAGTGGAGTATCTTAGATGGCCACTCACAAGCATCAAAGTCCCCATTGCTTGTATTACCATTTATGTGTATATTTCAGCAGGCAAGTATACTCATTTACCTATTTATCTTATTCTGGTCTTCAGATTTAAAAAAAGCAAAAGAATAATACTCCCCACCACCACCCGTGCCCCGCTTTGGGGACTGCAAGCCTGAGGAAGCCTGTAGGGATTTTCATAAGTCAGGGTTCAGTAGAGAAGAGAGTAGGTGATTTCCCTGAAGAATTTGGCTGCAAAGCTCTTGGGCTGGGACGACATGGGGAAGTCCTGAGATAGGATGCACCCATACACATACTCACTTCTCCCTTAGCCATGTGCACTGGCTGCCTTCACAACTCAGTCAGTTTTCTGAAGGTCCAGATCCTCCAAACTGTCTTTTAATTCTATTCCTCTTTTCAAACCCCCATTAGTTCTCACCGTAACTATTTATTGCCACTGAACTCAGGTGGCACAGTGGTTAAGAGCTCAGTTGCTAAGGTCAACAGCTTGAATCTACCAGCTGCTCCTTGGAAACCCCATGGGGCAGTTCTACTCTGTCCTGTAGGGTTGCTATGAGTTGGAGTCGACTCAACAGCAACAGGTTTTACAGCTCTCCTTTCCCTCAGTCTCCTCCCCTTATGGGATTTCTACTTCCCAGGTTCTACCAAATTAACCTTGAAAAACCTGAGGATGTCTCTCTTCAGTGCTAAATTGTCTGATGACTCCACCTTCATATACACGAGATCAAGTCCAAATTCCTTGACATGGCATTCAGGGCCCTTGTTGTCTCTCCATACCCCACACTCTAGCTATACATGTCTCATTGGTGTTCAAATAGGCTAGGTGTCCTAGAGAGGAGTGTGTGAAACTGGAAGCACCCCTCTCTAAAGAAAACAGCCTCAGCAGGTGCTTTCTGCATGATGTGGTCTTGGCTGTGTCAAATGAACAGCA